CTGTTAGACCTTTCTCTGATAGACTAAAGAGCCCATTATTAAATATTTGTTCTCCATGTAGATAGTTACAGACTGTGATCAAGTTACTCCTTAAACTTCTCTTTGTTAAGCTAAACATATTGAGCTCTTTGAGTCTATCACTGTACGACATGATCTCTAATACTTTAATCATGCTTGCGGCTTTTCTCCGAACCCTCTGCAATCAACCTCCTTCTTGAATTGTGGGCACCAGAACTGGACAGAGGATTCCAGCAGTGGTCACACCAGTGCAAAACACAAACGTAAAATAACCTCTTTACTCCTACTTGAGATTTCTGTTTATGCATCCCAGGATTGCATTAGCTCTTTTGGCCACAGCATCACACTGGGAGCTCATGTTCAGCTGATTATTCACCATGACCACCAAATTTTTTTCAGAGTCACTGCTTCCCAGGATATAATCCCCATTCTGTAAGTGTGGCCTGCATTCTTTGTTCCTAGGTGTATATATTTACGTTTACCCATATTAAAATTCATATTGTTCGCTTGCACCCCATTTACCAAGTGATCCAGATTACTTTGAATCCGTGAGCTGTCTTCATTATTTACCACTCCTTCAATTTTTGTGTCATCTGCAAACTTTATTAGTGATGATTTTATGCTTTCTTTCAGGTCATTGATAAAAATATTTACAATTACATATTGCTATCTATCAGTTAGCCACGTTTTAGTCCATTTAATGTGTGCCATGTTCATTTGATATCATTCTAGTTTTTTAATCAAAATGTCATGTAGTACCAACTGAAACACCTTACTGGTCTAAGCATGTTATAACAACACTATTATTTTTATTAACCAAACGTGTAATCTCATAAAAAATATCGAGTTAGTTTGACAGAATCTATTTTCCACAAACCCATGTTAATTTCCATTAATTACATTATCCTCTTTAAATTCTTTATCAATCTCATTCTGTATCAGCTGCTTCATTATATTCTATGATTCTATGATTGTATGATTATTTTGCATGGGATCAATGTGAGGCTGATAGGCCTCTAATTTGCTGGATCATCCCATTTACTCTTTTATAAAAGTGGCACCATGTTAACTTTTTTCCAGTCTTATTGAAAATCAGCAGTAATGGTCCAGTGAGCTCCCAAACAGTTCTTTTAAAACTCTTGGATGTAAGTTATCTGGACCTGTTGATTTAAAAATGTCTAACTTTAGTAGCTTCCATTTAGCATCCTCTAGAGAGAACAGTGGAATTGAAAGAGCGTTATTGTCACCATATTATGAGACCACATCATCTGTCTTTTCCCCAAATACAGAACAGAAATATTTATTGAACACTTCTGCATTATTGATAAGTCTACCATTTCCAAGTAGTAATGGATGAGTACTGTTGTCAGGATTCTTTTTGTTCCTAATATATTTTTAAAAACTCCTTCTCATAGATTTTTCCTTGTGTCCTTTTGTTTCCCTTATCAATTTTCTACATTTCCTAACTTCTGATTTATATACATTACTATCAACTTCCCATTTGTTATATATTATTTTTTATAGCTGCCTTTACCTCACGTCTAACTCAGGTCTGTTTTTTTTGACCAGGTCAACTGTCTTCCTCAATTGTGGAATTGTGGCTTTGGGCAACTCGTAAGGTGTTCATAAATGATTCCCACTTACCACTCCCATTTTTGATTAAATTCTTCCTCCCAGCTGGAGTGGAGCGTATGCTTAGAAAATCTATGGATGACACCAAGGTGGGAGAGCTTGAAAGCACTTTGGAAGTGTAGCCCCATCTGTTCACTGGCCTAGTATGAGGTTGTTCAAGATAGAGGAAGCTTCCCTTGTGACTTTTTACACAACTTTGGTAAACTGGGCCTGAGACTCCTTTGTGTGCTCTGTGTTGTGTGTTAGTGTGTGTTCACCTCAAGACCAGACCCACTGTCAGGGTTCCCTCCCCTCTCTGAAATCTAGGGTACAGATCATAGAATCATAGGGTTGGAAAGGACCTCAGGAGGTCATCTAGTCCAACCCCCTGCTCAAAGCAGAACCAATCCCCAATTTTTGCCCCAGATCCTTAAATGGCCCCCTCAAGGATTGAACTCACAACTCTGGGTTTAGCAGGCCAATACTCAAACCACTGAGCTATCCCTCCCCCCAGATGTGGGGACCAGCATGACAGATGTGGGGACCCACATGAAAGAACCCCTAAGCTTATTTCTACCAGCTTAGGTTAAAACTTCCCCAAGGCACAAATTCTTTGCCCTTGGACATACGCTGCCACCAGAAAGTGATTTAACAAAGAATCAGGGAAAGGACCACTTGGAGTTCCTATTCCCCCAAAATATCCCTCCAAGCCCTTACACCCCCTTTCCTGGGGAAGCTTGAGAATAATATCCTAACCAATTGGTTACAAAGTGATCACAGACCCAAACCCCTGGGTCTTAGGACAATAGAGAAATCACTCAGGTTCTTAAAAGAAGGATTTTATTTAAAAAAAGGTAAAAATCACCTCTGTAAAATCAGAATAGAAAATAACTTTACAGGGTAACAAAAGATTCAGAGACACAGCAGAACTTCCTCTGGGCTTAGTTTCAAAGTTACAAAAAACAGGAATAAACCTCCCTCCAGCAAAGGAAAAATTCACAAGCAGAACAAAAGATAATCTAACACGCCTTGCCTGGCTTTTACTTACACTTTGTAATATGAGTGACTTTTAGGATGGTTTATAGGAGAAGGAGTTTTCTGACCTGATGCCTCTCTGCTTCCCGAGAAACACACCAAAACAAAGCCTCCCTCCCACCTCAAGATTTGAAAGTATCTTCTTTCCCCATTGGTCCTTTTGGTCAGGTGCCAACCAGGTTATTTGAGCTTCTTAACCCCTTACAGGTAAGGAGGAATTCTAGGCTACCCTTAGCTGTATGGTTATGACGCCCACTCAGAAAAACCTCCAGGAACAAGTCTTTATTCTGTAAAGAACATAGAACAGGATTACAGTCCAGCAGCCTCCTTTCAATTTGCCTGTTACGTGCTGCCAGCTCAGTCAGTGCTGAGACCTCCTGCTGGTGGGGGGAAGAGGTTACATCCTGGCAGGAACCAGGAAGTTCTCCCAACAAACCACACTTGGTAGTCCTCAACTTGTAGTTCCCAGGGTTGCTGTTGAAGCACACTGGACTGTGGGCTTACACCCTCCCCCCACTTATTGAAAGGGTGACCTCGTCCCTTTCCTTTGTCAAAAATCTCTCAGCTTGAATATCACATGCCACCCCCTTTTTCAATGTTTCCAAGAGCTTCCTGTTGCAAGTCACTCCACAGCAGCACTGGCCAAACCCCTGGTCTCTGCTCCTCTTTCATCAGGCAGCCTACTGTTCCAAATCGAGCTGGAAAGGTGCCCATCGCTGTCTTGTTGAGCACCGAGGTGCTGGTAAACTATCTCTGGGCACCACTCCAATATGATCCCACTCTGTCTGCCCTTCTCCAGTCCAATTAGGTTTATTCAGACTCTCCTCAGTTTGGTGGGTTTCCTCCTTCAGTCCCCATGGTCTGGTCAGGCTCTTCCAGGTCAGAGTACTGAGGGTCTGAGTCAAAATGGTCTGAGTCTGGGTCTTGTGACTCAGTACAGTGTAACCCTGGCTCCCCTTCATTGCACTGCCCAACCCCCATGTCCCAGGTATCCCCTGTGTACATTACCCACCAGTGGTTTTCTTTCCCCTATAGCAGCCTGGTTTATCTACAGAGCCCCCACTAAGTTCCTTCCCTGCCTCCAGTGGGAAGTTTCCCTCAAGTCCCAGCTTGGCTCCCTCCATTTGTACCTTCCTGCTTGCTGGTTGATTGACTCCACCGATAGGTAGAAACATGCATGGTGTAATTTGGTTACAGTGTATCATCTGTTCCCCTCTTCCTGATTCCAGCTCTACAGCATAGACAGGCAAGTCCCCTTGTCTTCTGATCATGATATATGGAATTGGTTCCCATATGTCTCCCAATTTCTGTCTCCCTTTCTTCTCTCTAGTTTCAGAGTAACAGCCGTGTTAGTCTGTATTCGCAAAAAGAAAAGGAGTACTTGTGGCACCTTAGAGACTAACCAATTTATTTGAGCATAAGCTTTCGTGAGCTTATGCTCAAATAAATTGGTTAGTCTCTAAGGTGCCACAAGTACTCCTTTTCTTTCTTCTCTCTGGCTACTAGCGCCCTGTCTCCAGGAGTCAGTGGGGCTTCTCGCGTTTGGCAGTCATAGTACTGTTTCTGGTGACGTTTGGTGGCTTCAGATGCCTGTGCAGCCTGATGATATGCTCTCTCTAGGCATTCCCTTAGCCAGGAGATGTTCCCCCCACCTCCACCCTCTCATCTCCCCGGTGGGGGGAACCCAGGGCCAGATCTACCTTCAGTCTTGGGTGCCGTCCAAACATGAAGAAGAATGGGGAAAACCCAGTGGACTCATGCCGGGTGAAGTTATAGGCGTGTGTCATGGGCTCAATATAGTCCTTCCAGTTCGCCTTTTGGTCCGGATGCAGGGTTCCCAGCATATTCATGAGTGTTTGGTTGAACCACTCAGTAGTCCCATTCCCCTGAGGGTGACAGGGCGTGGTTCTGCTCTTTGAAGTTCCAAACAGTTTGCAAAACCAGACCAGGAGATTACTTTCAAAAATTCTCACCTGATCCCTTTGTATCCTTTCAGGGATGCTATAGTGGCAGATGAACTGTTTCCACATCATCTTGGCCACAGTAGATGCCGGCTGGTCACGAGTAGGGTATGCCTGAGCATAGTGAGTGAAGTGGTCAGTGACTACAAAGATATCCCAGGATGGTTCCAGGGTGAGAAAATCGAGGCACACTAGCCCCAGGGGCCTACTCGTATGGATTGAGGTAAGTGATAAGATCAGAAAATTCCCCTTCAGAGTGATAGGATCAGAAAATTGAAAGGAAGATGCAGACATAAACCCTATAAATTTATTATTCATTTCCCGTTCTCAGTATCTCTCACCTGCAGGTTCTGTAAATAATGAGGAGTCGTAGTATCTTGATGCAAACAGGAACAAGTGTATTGTGGGGATTGGTATACAGGATAAGGGAAAATGAGGTGAGAGAAAAATAATTCAATTACAGCGATTACAATAGGTGGCATGAAGCTGGCCCCTTACAAACCCTTAGGCCAAATCATAGACCGCAAGGTAAGTAATCAAATAAGAGTCCAATTATAGCAATCTTCTTCACAGTTCAAGTGCCGTCATCAGTCTATAGGGGAGGTGTTTTCATAGATTCATAGATATTAAGGTCAGAAGGGACCATTATGATCATCTAGTCTGACCTCCTGCACAATACGGGCCACAGAATCTCACCCACCCAGTCCTGCAATAAACCTCTCACCTATGTCTGAGCTATTGAAGTCCTCAAATCATGGTTTAAAGACTTCAAGGTGCAGAGAATCCTCCAGCAAGTGACCCATGCCCCATGCTACAGAGGAAGGAGAAAAACCCCCAGGGCCTCTTCCAATCTGCCCTGGAGGAAAATTCCTTCCCGACCCCAAATATGGCGATCAGCTGAACCCTGAGCATATGGGCAAGATTCACCAGCCAGATACCCAGGAAAGAATTCTCTGTAGTAACTCAGATCCCACCCCATCTAACATCCCATCACAGGCCATGTTGGTTGCTTAGGACCTACAATCCCTTGGCTAATGTAAAGCCACAGGAGAGGACTCTAAGGTGTCCCTTGAGGAGAAGATCTTAACGTGATGTTGATGTTACTGGTCCTGATCTAGTTGACCTGTAAAGGAAAACGCACGCACTCCTGCCACTAAGATGGACAGCCTGATTGTGAGTGCTGATCACCCTCATATATCTTCCTTGGCGGGAGAAATTCCTCCTTAAGGAAAAACCCTGTGCATTCCCCAGTCTAAACTGGAAGTTGTTTACAAGAGTTAAATCAAAAAGAGTGGGACGGTTGGGTCAGATGACCCAGGAGTCCATTTTGAAAACTAGGGTTCCATTTTGGAACCCAAAATGGCTTCTTTACACAACAAGGAAATTGGATAACCATATAACCAATATAAACATTAACACATATCATGAACCCAATTGAGCTTCAGGAATTCTTGGCCCAACAAGAGATGCCTCTCTTTCTTAGGCAGCACCTTTTGCAAGAGAGACATCACTCTGGCATGGTGGCCTGGCTAATAACAGTGACTGTGGATGATATCCACCATATGGTCAATGCCCATGTATCCCGTGTCCATGTGCAGAGCTTCAAACACTTCTCTCTGGAGTTTCTCTGGCAGCACCACCTGTTGGATCTGTCCCTCTCCCAGGATTGTTGTCCTCATGTAAAGGATCCCCTCTACCAGCTGCAATTGCTTCCATTGATTCAGTAATGTCAGCACTGGTGTTTCTTCCTTCTGCCTCTCCTGGGCACTGGGTGCCCGTTGCCTGGGCAGGTAGGACCTTACATGGGAGATTACTGCATCCTTTTCCTGTAGCCTTCTCAATTCTTTCTTAGGCAGGCCTGGAATTAATTCTATGCCTGGCTTGTGGAGTGACTCAGCTCTCTGCATTGCATTCCTTTGGCATTCACCCTGGGTTGCTATGGAGGACACATTGCATCCAGCATTCAAAACTGTTGCCACCTCCTCTCGGGGTAACAAAGACAGGCTATCAGCATTGGCATTACTTCTCCCAGGCTGGTACTTTATGTCAAAGTTGAACTCTGCCAGCTTTGCCATCCACTTTTGACTGGTTGCGTTCAATTTAGCAGTCGTAGTAACATAGTTCAGTGGATTGTTGTCAGTCAGTACTGTAAATTAGTGTCCTAGCTGATAGTCTCTAAATTTATCTGCAGCTGCCCATTTTAATGCCAAGAACTCCAGTTTATGGTCAGGATTTTTTTTCAGAAGGAGTTAAGCCCCTGCTGGCATAAACTATGACCCTCTCCTTCCCTGACTGAATCTGAGCCAGTACAGCTCCTAGCCCCTCTGTGGATGAGTCTGTCTGGAGTATGAATGGTAAACTGTAATCGGCATATCCCAGTATTAGTGCAGTAGTCAGCTTTGTCTTCAGCTCTGTGAAAGCCTGGTCACATTCATCTGTCCAAACAGTACTGGGTATCTTAGTGGGACCCCTCTGATTTCTCCTTCTGGTCTGGGCTTCACCTGCAGTTAATCTGAATATTGGGGCTGCCAGTTTGGAGTAGCCTTTGATGCATCTCTTGTAATAGCCAGTGAATCCAAGAAATTGTAACACTTCCTTCCTGTTGATTCTAAGGGGTACATCCTGGCAGGAACCAGGAAGTTCTCCCAACATACTGCAGTTTGTAGTTCACAACTTGTAGTTCCCAGGGCTGCTGTTGAAGCACACTGGACCTTGGGCTACAGAAGAAAGGATTAGAATTAAAAATTATCTTGACAAATTAGAGAATTGGTCTAAAATCAACATGATGAAATTCAATAGACAAGTAGACTTCACTTACAAAGGAAAAATCAAATGCACAACTACAAAATGGGGAATAACTCACTAGATGGTAGAACTGCTGAAAAGGACCTGGAGGCTAGAGTGGATCACAGATTGAATATGAGTCAACAATTGCTGCACTTGCAAAAAAGGCTAAGATTACTCTGGGGTGTATTAACAGGAGTGTCATACGTAAGAAACAGGAGGTAACTGTCCTGCTCTACTTGGCACTGCTCAAAGTCACTCAGTGAGTTTGTGAAACAGCAATAGCATCCAAGTGTCCTGATGCCCACGTAGCATTTGAGATTAAGTGCCAGGAGCAAAGGCGAAGGAGAGCAGGTTAATTATTAGTAGTATTAAGGAACTGGGATGCCCATGAAACACTTTTAAAAGTATTTAAAGCCAGAGCTCCTGCTCTGAAGAGTTTGCAGTCGAAGTTAACATGACAACAGGAAGAGATAACTCAGGGTTGGATAACGGGGCAGTACTAGGCTGAAGCTGAGGGTGAGATGGGCAAAATCAGCATTCAGAAGTGCGGGGGTGAGGGGACAGCAGTGGGACAGGTGTAGTGATGGGCCAAGTGTGAGAGAGGGCAGCAGTGGCAATGATGCCTAGGAAGGCTGTAAGGGCAGAAGCAGAGGAGGGACAGGGAAGAGTGGGCATTTCAGTGGTACAAACAGAGGAGTCAACGAGGTAGAAACACCTGGGGTTGTGCTAGGGAAACTGCTTGGCAGGATGGGCTTAAGGGGCCAGGGTGAATATGGCAGCAATGGGGCATGGTGAGATGCATGTCTCAGACTTTGTGCACCACACAGATTTTTCCATGTGTTTATGCCATACATTTTTAAACAGTGGTGGGAATTAACTATTGGGACAACTTATCTAGTGACACAGGCAATTCTCCATCATTTCCAGTCTTTAAATCAAGGCTGGATGTCTTTTTAAAAGATCTGCTGTAGTTCATACAGAACTTACAGGCTTGATGCAGGAATTACTGACTGAGGTTCTCTGGCCTGTGTTCTGCAAGAGGTCAGACAAAATTATCATAATTGTTGCTTCTGGCCTTAAACTCTATGAATATCCAAACTTTTCCCAGAGCCACATAGCAGCTAATCCCACAAAGCTCACCACTCCTGGGAAGGCATTGTACTGGCACTCTTGTTCCTCCCTTTTCCTGTAGGTGGGGTTTCCCTAGGAAACAGCAGCTGTTCTGCTTCCCAGTGCTGGCAGGCAGCCGACTGGAGTTTGCATTGCCAGAGTCAGCCTGTATTTGCAAAGACTCCTCTCTCTTCCCCCTACACTGAAGTTTTTCAGCCTGGACAACAGCTGGATCTCCTACCTGTTCTTCTAGGCACTGGTGGAGAAGGTGGGGATTTTCTCTCAATGTAGCTGGATTTGCCTGGGATTTCTGTTCCTCCTTCAGCTGGTAACATACACTTATGGTATCTGGAAATGGGACTGTCCTTGGGTGAAAACAGAAATGATTGGCAGGTTCTTTAAGCTTGGTCTGGGTGTGCAAAGTTTTGAGGACAAAGCCATCTGTCTTGGGGCTGAGCAACAGTGTGGTTGGCTTTCTCAGAAGCATGCTTTTGCTGTCACACTTTCTGCTTCAATTCTTGGTGTTGTGTTGGCACTTTTTCCTTTTTGTGGATTGCCAGGAGGTGGCCCCCTTTGCTATGCAATACAAAGTGTTAGAAGAAGTGCCAAGTGGAACTGTGATAGGGACATTATCTGAGGATTTTGGCTGGAAAGAAAGAAGTGAACCAGTAGAGACCTTCCAGCAGCTGCATTTCCCCAAGGAGCTCCCTGTCTGTGTTGGGTCTGGAGATGGTTTGCTTAGCACAGCAGGGCGATTGGACAGAGAGCAGTTATGCAGGCACAACGATCCATGCTTGTTCTCTTTTGATGTGCTGGCTGCCACACACTTGGCTTTAATCCACGTGGAGATTCAGGTTTTGGACATCAATGATCATGCACCCCGATTTCCAAAACCTGAGCTGGAACTAGAAATATCAGAGAGTGCATCTTTACGAACACGAATACCACTGGACCGAGCCCTCGATCCAGACACTGGCTCCAATGCCCTCTGCTCTTACTCATTATCACCCAGTGACCACTTTGCTTTGGATATAATTTCTGGATCTGATGGAACTAAACATGCAGAACTTGTAGTTGTTAAAGAAGTGGACAGAGAGCTCCACTCTTCTTTTGATCTAGTATTGACTGCCTTTGATCATGGAGAACCACCAAAATCAGGCACAACCTTACTTAGGGTAATTGTTTTAGACTCCAATGATAACAGCCCCATGTTTGCAGAGAGTTCTTTGACAGTGGAAATCTGGGAAGATGCTTTGCCTGGGACAATTCTTATAAACCTTACAGCCACTGACCCTGATCAGGGTCCCAATGGGGAGGTAGAATACTCACTCAGTAAACATGCTTCACTGGAGGTGTTGAACATGTTCATCATTGAAGCCAAGACAGGCAGTGTAGTTCTGAGACGCCCACTGGACTATGAAGAAAATCATACCTATGAAGTAGATGTACAAGCCAGGGATCTTGGAGCCAACCCTATCCCAGCACACTGCAAGATCCTCATTAAGGTCCTGGATGTCAACGACAATGCCCCAGATGTGCACATCACTTGGGCTGCCCAGGTTCCAGTGCTATCTGAAGCTCTTCCTAAGGACAGTTTTGTTGCTCTGGTGACAGTAAGCGATCCTGATTCTGGAAACAATGGACAGGTGCATTGTTACCTTAGTCAAGGACTTGAGCATTTCAAATTGAAAAGGACCAACAGATACACTTATATGCTGTTGACCAATGCCATCTTGGACAGGGAGAGGTGGGCAGAATATAACCTGACATTAATGGTCCAGGACAATGGGAACCACTCCTTAGCCACGAGGAAACACCTCACTGTATGCATCAGTGATGTCAATGACAACCCACCACTGTTTGAAAGAATTACATATGATGTCACCATTGCTGAGAACAATATGCCTCCATCCTACCTGATTACTGTCAAGGCTCACGATGCTGACTTAGATTTTAATGGAAAAGTCACTTATAGCATCCAGGACTTCCTTGTTTCAGATTTGGTCTCTATTGATTCAAAAACTGGCGAAATCTTTGCGCTCAGAGCTTTTGATTATGAACAAATGACAAGTCTGGAATTCCTGGTGACAGCAGAAGATGGGGGTCACCCCAAACTTTTGTCTAATGTTTCTGTTAGGGTTAGTCTGCTTGATAGGAATGATAATTCCCCAGTGATCGTGCAGCCAGTGCTGGTGGGAGGCAAAGCAAGGATCATTGTTCTAGTCAATGCACAGACCGGATGCCTGTGGCTATCCCTAGGGAACGACAGCCCCCAAGGTACAGCAGTAACCACCATGACACCAACACCCAGTTCAAACGTTTCCCTGCTATTCACCATATCTGCCAGTGATGCAGATTCTGGCCTGAATGGGGCCCTTCACTATGATATTCTGAGTGGGAATGATGCCAGTTTGTTTCTCATTGATCCACTGTCAGGGCAGGTGTTTATCAACAGCGGCAATGCCAGCAGCCTCATTGGCAGGGAATGGGAATTGGGGGTGTTGGTAAGGGATCAAGGGAACTCACCTCTACAGGCTAAAGCCATTGTGCAGTTAAGTTTCAGAAATCATCTTGACCAGCTGACAAACTCAGCCCAGGAGGCTCAGATGCTGAGCCCATCCATGGTGACTGTTATCTGCCTAGTTGTGCTATTAGGCACTTTTCTTCTTATTTTGGCTTTAATTGTGTCTATATGCAAAAGAGAGAAGAAAGATAACATGGCCTACAACTGCAGGGAAGCGGAAGATGCCCACAGACATCAGCAGCTCAAGAAGCCCCACAAACACATTCAGAAAACAGATATATATTTAGTCCCTGTACTCAGAAACAGGCAAGCTGTGCAGAGTGAGGCTGAGCAAGTTCGCTCCTGTGAAGAAGCTTTGCTGAAGGAAAGTTCCTGGGATGAACCACTGCAGACTCCATTTCATTTAACCCCAACACTGTACAGGACCCTTAGAAACCAGAAAGGTCCAGCTGAACAGAAAGATGCCTTCAATCTCCCTGCAATACAGTGCAGACCCTTCCACCCACACAGGCTAAGAAATGCATCAAAAGAGAGCTCAAGCCTTCAAGATGCACAAACTCACTCCAAAAGCTTAGACAAGCCACAGCTGAAGCCTTTGGGAGATGAGAATTGCGACCTCTCACTGCCAACTACGCAGCCCTCAGACATGACTCTGAAGAGACAGAGAATTGCCAAGACAGACACAGGGCCCAGGGAAGCTCATCCCCACCAGCACCTCCTGAGAAGCCTAGTGAGGCTGTCCATGGTGGCACTTGCAGAGCAGGACCCCACGGGAGAACTTGCTATGGAGTCGCCACCTGTTCAGGTAGGAGCTGCCTCTCGGCTGTGTTAGATTGAAGGGCCATATTATCCTTCACAGTCTCCTGTGAATCTCTGGGCATGTAGAGGGCTCACTGAGGGAAGAATTTGACGTGTTCTGTCTGGGTAAATATTCCCAGGGTACAACCTGGAGCCAGCCTCTCCTCACCCTGCACAAAGGGCAGGCCAATTTGGGAGAGTGCTGGGACATGTCAGGGGCTCAGTGGGGCAGTCAGCACACCAAAATCCCTGCCCCCCGCCCCCGCCTGAGTTCAGCACTGCAGGGACAGGCCAGGGGAGCTTGGTGGGAAGGGGGGATTGTCACACAGAGAGGGAGTGATGCCTGGTTTGTTTTCCCTAAGCATAAGTGTAGTTGAATACAGTCTGTGCTGCGAAGGGAGTCAGAGGGATGTGCAGAGGCAGCAGGTGCTGGGGCTTGAGGCTGGGGGGCTGCTTGCTCACTTTTCAGTTTCAGTCTCCAAGTGGGAATACCAACCCATCTGCAAGAGAAGGAAACACTATAAAGAGCCAGCACAGTGAGAAGGGGACATCCTGACAGGAAGCATCCTGAGTGGTGATTGCATGCAATCAACAGACTCTTCCTGTCTTACAGCAAATCTCTCAGCTGCTGTCTCTGCTGCATCAGGGCCAGTTCCAGCCCAAACCAAATCACAGGGGAAACAAATACACAGCCAACAATGGCAGCAGGTAAGACTCACACACAGCTAGTCCCACTGCCTTACTGCCCCTGCCTACTTCTCCCCAGCCCCTGCCAGGAGAAGTCAGCTCCAAATGCTTCCAAAGAGAAGATCTTCATGCTAAGAGAGTTCCTTGGAGCCTCAGGCTGTCTGCTTGGCCACAGGACTGTGTGCTGCCTCCCTGCTCTGTGTACCTGACTTTGGAGATGAGAGGGATGAGGCGACAGGGCTGGACTCACTCTGACTTCCCCAGGGACCCAGGCCACAGCCCCATGCATGCTGGCTGGTCCCTCGGGCCCTGCTCTCATGTGGTCCTGCCTGTAGCTTTGACCTGGGCACCAATACCGCTGCACTTCTCCCTTCTCCCCACACAAGCTGCTGTGGGTCAGCAGCCACTGGCATGGCTAGGACTAGGACAGTGGCTGGATGGGAGAGAGAGAACATGGCAGTGGGGGTACAGGAGAGCGCACTGAGAGGGAAGGAGAACCCAAAGGGGAACTGGGAGAAGACATCCCAAAGCCTGCGGCAGCATCCACACCCAGGGGAGGGGCCTTGGTGAGAAGAGCAGCTGGCAGAGGGAAGTGAAGGGAGGGGGGCAGAGCAGGAAACTCTGGGCCAGTGAGGGAGAAAGGGAAGCCCCAAAGGAGGAGATGAGGAGGACAGAGACTGAGAGGGATTGGGGGGAAAGGGAGAGAGACCCTGAGAAGTATTTGGGAGGGGGAAAGAGACTATCAGAGGTATACAGGAGAGTAGAGAGAGAATGTGAGGGCTTGGGGAAGGGGGAGAGACTGTGAGACAGCTTGAGGGGCAATTCTGAGTAGGGTTGCCAGCTTTCTAATCACACAAAGCCAAACACTCTTGCCCCTTCCCCTTCCCTTCTCAGAGGCCCCGCTCCCACTTCATTCCCTCTCCCTCCGTTGCTCGCTGTAGCCCACCATCATTCACTAGCTCATTTTCACCAGGCTGGGGCAGGGGGTTGGGGTGCAGGAGGAGGTGAAGGCTGTGGGCTCTGGGAGGCAGTTGGAGTGTGGGGTGTGGGCTCTGGGCTGGGGCAGGTGGTTATGGTGTGGGAGGACAGTGGTGGGTTCCAGCCGGGCGGTGCTTACCTCGGGCGGGTCCCGAAAGCAACCGGCACATCCCTCTGGCAGTGGCTCCTAGGCAGGGGGCCTAGGGGGTCTCCGCATGCTGCCCCTGCCTGCAGGCACCACCCCCGCAGCTCCCATTGGACACAGTTCCTGGCCAATGGGAACTGTGGAGTCAGCGCTCGGGGCTGGGACAGTGCATGGAGACCCCTGACACTCCCCCCCATG